AATTCATATTGTGAAAAATACATGGAAACATATTTTCTGTCTGTGGAAGCCTCTGAAAGAGCATTTGTGCGTAGCAAAGCAGCTTCTGGAAGCTTCTCCCCATTGCGTTTTGGCAGGAGATGAGGGGGATGTTGGGCTGTGCACCCCTGGTGGATTCTCACAGGAAAGGTGAAAAGTATGCCACAGCAATGGGAAAAAGTAAATCCAGGAAGTGTTCACATGACTATAAAAGGAGTTATGTACATTTCCTGGGGGAATTCTTTGCTCTTTCACAGAGCAGGCTGTGCAGCCGGGTGGAGTCAGGGAGAGGTGGTCCGTCCACGGGGGGCGACCAGAGTTAGGGAGGCCCCTTTACGCGTGCAGGCACAGAGGGGATTCGCTGATTGTCCTGGCTCCGCACAGCCTGGGGCCAGGTCAGTACAACCGTGGGGAGGGACGTGGAGGGCTCAGGGAGTGCCTGTTTGCAGGGAGTGGGCAGCGGCTCAGGTCACCTGCAGCATTCAGACCAGAAGAGCAGCCAAGTCCTGAGGACAGCAATTGGACCCAAGGACACAGGCAGGGACAGAGCTCCTTCCACTGAGCCAGCTGTTAGCGGCTTGTGTTCTCGGACCCCTGGCCGGGGTTGTCTTTGATACGTGCTGTGTGTGCTGAGCCCTGCAGGCTGGGCTTGGGGGTCACTGGGTGGCCTGGGAGGCTACCAGTATGGCATTTGGCCCCTCCCCAGCGTATGGCCCCACCCCATCCCTGCCTCTCTTCTTACTTACATCCTCCTCTTTTTATTGCTTCTCCCCAACCTCTTTCTCTCTTTCTTTTGTGTTTATTCATTCATTCTCCCTAACATGTGCTTGCAGAGTCTTCTGGGATACCCAGGGATATCACTGGCATGTTTACTAAAGGCACTGCTGATCCCCAGATGGGCCCTTTGTGAAATGACCACTGAAGGGGTGGAGGGAGGAGTCCTTGCTTTCTCAGTTTACAAAGACAGCAGTTACTGGTTTGAGACTTTGAAGACAGGATGGCTTGAGTTTTATGGATAAACATCATTATCTCATTGGTGTATTTTAGGGGGTGATATTTTTCTATCCTTGAAACTTGGATGTCTAGATGACAATTTTTATCTGGTTTTACTGCGATAAAAAGCAGTTTTAGTACATCAAGTCATCTTAACTGTCCATTGAGATGGGACTCCTGTAAAATCACTTTGTACCTGGAGATAGCAATCCAAGTGTTCCGGCTGGGCGCGGTGGCTCACGCCTGTAATCCCAGCACTTTGGGAGGCCAAGGTGGGCGGATCACAAGGTCAGGAGTTGGAGACCAGCATGGCCAATATGGTAAACCCTGTCTCTAATAAAAATACAAAAAAGTAGCTGGGTGTGGTGGTGCATGCCTGTAATCCCAGCTACTTGGGAGGCTGAGGCACGAGAATCACTTGAACTTGGGAGGTGGAGGTTGTGGCGAGCCGAGATCGTACCACTGGATTCCAGTGTGGGCGACAGAGCAAGACTCCGTCAAAGAAAGAGAGAGAGAGAGAGAGACCCAAATGTTCTGTGATTATCCTCTGAAAACCGTGGTGCTTAAAAAATTATGACAAGCGTGTTCTGCCTTGAAGAATAACGGTGATAGTGGCAGTCCTTAGCCCAACACGTTGTAGTTGATAACCAGGTTCATCTTCATTGGCTCATTGGAATCTTATCAATAATAAACTAGTATTTGGGTACTCTTACCCTGCAATAGATGGGGAACGCCAGGCCAAGAGGTTAAGTAGGAACGGAGAGGCATGGGAACTCAGGGCTTCATCCTCTTCTCGTCCAGGGCAACACCCTGCACCAGGCATCTCCTGTGTCCAGCTCCGAATAAGACATAGGTCCTTGCTGTCCCCTGTTCTGCCTCCTAGAACGGCAGGTGGTAGTCCAGCAGCTCAGATACCCCAGTTTCAGCAAGATTTTGGGGTTTACTGATTTTAGGTGAAGGAAAGGGTTCTCAGTGAAAACACTTTCCTTTAAAAACAGGAAATCATACATCACAACTCCTGCTTTGCCCGGAGAGAGATTTTTTCTGCATCACCATTGCAGATACCTTGCTTATCTCCCCCCCAACCCCCATGCAGTCTTAGAGCATTCCACTGCGTGACACAGGGACATGGTTGCACCTTATCTGAGGGTCAGGATGGAGCAGATTGGTGTGTGGGTCCCAGGTGCCTCCCCTGTAAGGGAGGGAAGCTTTGTTGCTTCTGCTCAGCGGCTGCCCTGGTGACCAGTTCTGGCTGAGAGGAAAGTACATTCCATAACATTCCTGGTGACTTACTGATCATGTGACGTTGTCATAATAGACATTGATCATTTTATGACCCAGACAAATCCAACGTAAATTCATTCTAACATGGTGGGTGCTGTTTCAGCAATGAGTTGTTGGAGACCTGGGACTCAAAGGACATCTGGTCCTTGCCTTAGCCAGCTGTCAAAGGGGTTGGACCAACAGTGTTTGGGGCCCCTTCAGTTCTCATGTTGAGTGAATCTGTGACTCTAGGATGTTGGGAGTGGGAGATGGGCTGAGATTTGGGGCCAGACTGAATCCCTGCCCTCTTCTCCTTCTCATATTTCTCTTCCTTTCTTTTTTCTGTTTGGTCTCCATAGTTTAAAGTATTTCTATTAGTCACTCAATTCAGCTGCATTTTAACTTAAGCAGCCTTGAGAGGCCTGCTCTAAAAGCCTTCAAACTATGTTTCCAGCATCTTTTAAACTTCGCTTTGTCCTTCACTTCTCAGCTCAAATGCCTGTTCTTGAGAGAAGTCTCTCTGATCGTCTTATATAACAGGGACTGAAACACATTTTGTAGGGGCAAGATGGCAAATATTGTAGGGCTTGCAGACCACAGGGTCTCTGTTGCAATGACTGAACTCTGCCCTTGTAACACAGAAAAGCAGCACCAGACAATAAGGTATGGGCATGGCCATGTTCCAATAAAGCTTTGTTTACAAAAACAAGCTGTGGCTGGCTTGGCCCGCGGGCCATCACCTGCCACCTCCTGCCAAGGGACCAGCCCTCCCCTGCCACTGCTGTGTGCACGTGCCCATATCTTGCTGTGTCCTTCTTCCTAACGCTTAAGCAAGAACACTGTATTTTTTAAATACATTTTGTATCTGTTGTCTGTCATTCCCACCATAATGGACGATCCACAAGTGCAGGGTCATCTTGCTGCGGAGCTTCCAGAATAGGCTTGGTGCATAGTAGGTGTGCAGTAAATAATTGTCGAGTGAGAAAACAAATGTTAGAAACATAACTTGCCTGTCAGCTGGGCTTTCCTTGCTTGCTTTGGGGTGCGTTTGTCCATGTTACATTTAGCTTCTATTTTCCTCCTTTTGTTGTGATTCTTTGTGTTCACGTACTAGTTGGCATCTGGGGCTTGGCCTGCATGCCTTTGGTGATGCCCCTTTGGGAAGCCCCGGGCCTCCCATGTCCTGTTGATGGTGGTGGTGAGGGGATTTCTTGTCCTTGATGCATGTGGCCCTTTCACAGTGGGACTGAAACACAGATTGACTTGATTTCAGTCTCCTATGGGAGATTTGTCCTTCGGAGGGGTGTCTAGGCAAAACAGTTGCCTTTGATCCTGCCCTGATTTGGTGCTGTCTCAGTGCTGGGAAGCTTTGCATTTTCCAGGCCTGGAACTCTGGGTCCCATTCACATTTCTCACTGGAGGGATGAAAGCCCGCTTCTTGGGCCCTCGTGGCCGCTCCAGCCGGCAGCTCCAGCTGCTGTTACTAATACACGCCAATGGTTTCCCCTCAACTCCAGTGGAGAGGTTGTGTGGGTTGGATCCTTGTGGGTTCCATCCTGTGCTGCATATCTGGGGACTGTGACCTGGTTTGACATGGCCATGTGTATGCCAAGCAGGACGGGGTTGGTGGCGGGAAGCACGGAGAACCATGAGACCCACGCCTTTTCTCTAGGGTCTTGGTGTTTCCTCGGGGAGATGGGATGCGTTCATGAGAATGTGACGCGTCCCATGAGCTGGCGAAGTTGGCAGATGTACGGTGGAGGGGGAGGAAGCCACTGCACTTCCGCCCAGGGTGACTGATGCAAGATGACCCCCATCACAGAGGGCCCTACTTGATTTGGGCCTTGGAGGGTGGATGGCAGGGAGGAGAGGGAGGAAGGACTGTCCCTACAGGAGAAGCCTGGGACGTGTGTGGCGGGAGTTGGTGAGCAGGGTGGGACAAAACTTTGTCGTGTGGAGTGGGGGGCACACAGCACCCAGCGGCTTCATTTCAGGACCCCTGTAAGTGCAGTGGAGACTGCCTTGCAGCTGTCTGGGCATTTGCTCTTTTTGTTTTTGGTGTTAAGGCCTCCAGGCTTTTATCATTTTGAGGAAAACAGCAGGTCTCAGCTCACCCAGCACAGAATTAGTTAGGTCTCTAAACCTGCAAAGTACTGATCTGAACCTGAGAGCTCATGAAAACTCTGGGTGGCAAAAAATCTTGTAGGGGATCCCTTAGTTTTCCTTGAGTTTGAGACATTTCATTTTAAGAAGCTTGGCCTTGGGGCAACATACCAAGTCTAGCACAAGTAATTAAGAGTGTATGTGTGTGTGATGCACAGTCACGTTTAACGTACAAATGTGAAAAATTTGGCATTCTTACAAATAAAACATACCACAATGACAGATTTTTGCAGGTATTACGGTGCAAGCACACTTTGGCAATCAATTTAAACATTTTCTTGTGGGATATGCTTCCACGCTATGGTTTGGTTTGTTTCTAAAGCCCTGTAGGACGTGGAAACTAAGTCAGGACAGATTTGCTGGGGGTATCATACCTCTGGTTGCTGTTCCAGATTCTTCCTGACTTCCTGGGGCTCGGGGAGAGGTGGATGCCTGCTGGGGCCGTTTGCAAAGCAAGAACAGCTTCTCCTGGGAATAAGCAGCCTCCACTGACCTTTGTTGGACGTTCTCTCCTCTCCCTCCTTCCCATCTGTCTCCATCTTCTCTCTCCCACCTTTCTGCAGAGCCACCAACCAAATACCAAATCTCTCAACCAGAAGTGTACGTGGCTGCACCAGGGGAGTCGCTAGAGGTGCGCTGCCTGTTGAAAGATGCCGCCGTGATCAGTTGGACTAAGGATGGGGTGCACTTGGGGCCCAACAATAGGACAGTGCTTATTGGGGAGTACTTGCAGATAAAGGGCGCCACGCCTAGAGACTCCGGCCTCTATGCTTGTACTGCCACTAGGACTGTAGACAGTGAAACTTGGTACTTCATGGTGAATGTCACAGGTGAGTTGGCCCGTGAGCACTACGCTCTCTCTTCTCTGTAGCCATTATGTGATTTACATTTTTTTGGCCAAGTGCAAAGGTAGCGAGATCTCTAATTGGATGCCAGGCACACAGCTTCATAGTTTTTGAAATTCTTCTTTGGGACCTGGTGCACCAGAAAGGCCAGTCATTAAGAATGACAGAGCTCTTGTGCACAAAGTAACATTTTTCTTAAGATAGTACGCTTTTATTTAAGGAAATACATGCTTTTTTCTTTCTCTTTTTTTTTTGGTACCACTGACATCTTTGGCATTTAGAATATAGGACTGAAATGTGGATATTCAAGATTTCTGATTGGTTTATTAAAGTTTGAGTTTCTCTCCTTGATTTCATTCTGTGCAGTGAGCAGGACAGGACAGGCCCCCTTTGTGGCTGAGTTTAAAGTTCTGCTTTCAGAATGTTAGTTGACGATGACAAGGGCCACACAGGGACTAAGTTTTGTCAGGGATCAATTTCTTTCTTGAAGGGGACCCGCATACTGAAAGGTTAGTGTTGGAAAAAGAGTCTTTGGGTACTACACAATTGGTAAATTTGTCAGGGGCTTGAATACTGTTTGAAGCTTGAAATCCAATTCTCGTATATCCAATTTTATAGCCTGTTTAAATAGCGTGAAAACAGAAAACACTGAGAATCATAACATAGACCAACTGTCATCATGGAGGGAATATTTAAGCCATTAAAACTATCTTAACTAAACACAATCCCAGGCTCTTTGCGAGGGTTCCTGGGTTGTTGACTTTGCTGTGGAGAAGGTCTCAGTTGTAGATAATTGCAACCTTTTTGCTTTGCAAAAAAACACATCCATGGAATATGTTCTTTTGCATACAGATGCCATCTCATCCGGGGATGATGAGGATGACACCGATGGTGCGGAAGATTTTGTCAGTGAGAACGGTAACAACAAGAGTAAGTAACCGCCCGGCTCCGATGGTCCCCGAGAGAGGAGCGTGGAGGGAAGTCCTGCCTGTCACCTGTCTTCTTGTCGACTCTTCCGCACCATGCTGTGTCCCGCGGCCCTTGCCTTTCCCCACTGTGTCTACTTTCCTGACTTTCAAACCTGAGAATAAACCACTGTTGCTGCACAGCCTTCTCTATCGTTTGTCCTTTCTTCTCGTGTCACTGGTCATTCGTTTTTCAAAGCAGTTACTACTTTTCTTTCCTTGATTTTTCCTTTTCCCTTTGGCTTCTCCCTATTCAGAGACATAAAAATAGTAGAACCACATAACATCTTGGTTTTCCCTGTAATCATTGATTGTGCTTGGTTTAATCCAGTGGTGCGTGACTGGGGCGATGGCCTATTTTTGCTCTCCCGGCACAATGGGCAATATTTGGTTGTCACAACAGAGGGTGGGGGTGCTGGTGGCCTTTAGTTGGGGAGGGGGCAGGGATGCAGAGCACAGCCCCATAGCAAAGAATTATCTGGTCCAAGATGTCAGTTGTCCCTAGGACGAGAAACCCCGGCCTCCTACAACACACACCTCATGCTGAGTGGAAATGAAGGATGTGTGCCTTACTTTGCAGACCACGATTGAAAAGGAACCCAAAAGTGGTTTGCTTAATGAGGGCCGTGAACACTGAGCGCTAACACGAGAGAGGCCATTGACTTGCGAGGAAGAACACGGCATAGCCTCCTGGAGCTGGGCAACCTGGGTTTGAATCTTTCTCCACAACTTCTGAGTTGTTCATTTTACTTCTGTGCCTTAGTTTCTTTAACTATAAAGTGGGGAGTAATAATAGTAATAATAATAATACCTTCTGGGATTGTTATGAGGATTACATGAGTTCCTAGTTGTATAGTGCTCAGAAGAGTGAGTGCTTGCAAATGTTTATTCAATAAAGACAATAGAATATAGCATTACTTGCATTTTCCAATGACTTGGCTGGAATGTTCCTAAAGTGTTTGTACATGGGGTATTGGGGTTCTCTGCTTACATGGTATATTCTACATTTTTCTTAAAAGGATTTTAGTCAATTTAGTACATTTAAACAAGGCCTAAGTAATATACCACACCTGGCTAGTTTATGTATTTTTTTTCCCCCTGAGACGCCATCTTGCTCTGTCACCCAGGCTGGAGTGCAGTGGCGTGATCTCGGCTCACTGCAACCTCCATCTCCTGGGTTCAAGCAATTCTCCTGCCTTAGCCTCCTGAATAACTAGGACTACAGGGGCCTGCCACCACACCTGGCTAATTTTTGTGTTTTTAGTAGAGATGGAGTTTCACCATGTTGGTCAGGCTGGTCTTGAACTCTTGACCTCGTGATTCACCCGCCTCGGCCTCCAAAAGTGCTGGGATTACAGGCGTGAGCCACCGTGCCTGGCAATACTTTATTTTTTAGAGCACTGTTAGGTTCACAGCAAAATAACGAGGAAGGAACAAAGATTTCCCATATAATCTTCCCCAACACATGCATAGCCTGTCCTGTTACCAACATCCCCACCAGAGTGGTACATCTGTTCTGGTTGATGAACCTGCGCCATCATTATCACCCAAAGTCTGTGGTTGACTTTAGGATGTGTAATCATACAGTCTGTAGCCTTTACAGATTGACTTCTTTGACTTAGTAAGATGCATTTAAGTTTCCCTCATTTTTTTTGTGGCTTGATGGGTCATTTGTTTGTAGCACTGAGTATTCCATTGTTTGTCTCAAAGTTTATCCATTTACCTACTGAAGGATATCTCAGCCGGGCACCATTGCTCATGCCTGTAACCCCAGCACTTTGTGAGGCTGAGCAGGTGGATCACTTGAGAACAGGAGTTCGAGACCAGCCTGGCCAACATGGCGAAATCCTTGTCTCTGCTAAAAATACGTAAGTTAGCCAGGTGTAGTGGCACACGCCTGTAATCCCAGCTACTCAGGAGGCTGAGGCATGAGAATCACTTGAACCCAGGAGGCGGAGGTTGCAGTGAGTCGAGATCACGCCACCGCACTCCTGCCTGGGTGACAGAGTGAGACTCCATCTCAAAAAAAAAAAAAAAAAAAAAAAAATTCTCTGTTTCTTCCAAGTTTTGACAGTTGCAAATGACGCTGCTACAGACATCTTTGCGCAGGTTTTTGTGTGGACATAGTTTTCAGTTACTTTGGGTAAATGTTAAGGAGCGTGATTGCTGGATTATGTGGGAAGAGTGTGTTTAGATTTGTAGGAAACCACCAAGCTGCCTTCCAAAGTGGCTGCACCATTTTGCATTCCCACCAGCAAGGAATGAGAGTTCCTGTTGCTCCACATCATTCGATGTGCCCGGTGTTCTGGATTTTGGCCATTCTGATAGGTGTGTAATGGTATTTCGTTGTTTTAATTTAAATTTCTCTGATGACAGATGATGCGAAGCATCTTTTAATATGATTAATTGCCGTCCATATATCTTCTTTGGTGAGAAGTCTGTTAAGGCCGTTGGCCCATTTTTTAATTAGGTTGTTTGTTTTCTTACTGTGGAGTTATAAGAGTTCTTCGTATATTTTGGATAACAGTCCTTTATTACATCGCTTTTGCAAATAGTTTCTCCCCCAACCTGTGGCTTGCCTTTTCGTTCTCTTGACAGTGTCTCTTACAGAGCAGAAATTTTTAAGTTTCATATAGTCCAGTTTTTTCTTTTATGAATGGTGCCTTTGGTGTTATATCTAAAATGTCATCATCCAACCCAAAATCATCTAGATTTTCTCCTATGTTACCTCCTAGGATTATTATAGTTTTGTATTTTGTATTTATGTGTGTAATCTATTTTAAGTTAATTTTTGTGAAGGATGTTAGGTGTGTGTATGGATTCACTTTTTAGCCTGTAGTGGTTCTGGCACTATTTGTTGAAAATACTTTTTTTTTCTGTTTTTTTTTTTTTTTTTTTTTGAGATGGGAGTTTCACTCTTGTTGCCCAGGCTGGAGTGCAATGGTGCGATCTCAGCTCACCACAGTCCTCGCCTCCTGGGTTCAAGCAATTCTCCTGCTTCAGCCTCCCGAGTAGCTGGGATTACAGGTACATGCTACCACACCGCGCTAATTTTGTATTTTTAGTAGAGATGGGGTTTCTCAATGTTGGTCAGGCTGGTCTGGAACTCCCAGCCTCAGGTGATCTGCCCACCTCGGCCTCCCAAAGTGCTGGGATTACAGGTGTGAGCCCCTGCGCCCGGCCTGTCTTAACTTTTTAAAGGAAGAAGATAAAACAGATATTGGTAGGTACCTCGGATAAATGAGTTACTTAAGTGAAGATTGAGATTTGTCCCTGAATTTCCTAGCAGCTTGGGCAAAAGGGAAATATTTTGGTTGATGCAGTTCTTACTTTTTGTCAAGAGGAAGCTTAGGGCACTTGTTCTCAAAGTGAAGTTCCTGGTCCAGCAGCATCAGCGTCACCTGAGAACTCCCTCGAAATGCAGATTCTCAGGTTCCTCCTCAGTCCCATTGCCTTAGAAACTCTGGGGGTGATTCTGCTTCACACTGAAATGCGAGAACCACTGGCTTAGAATTTGCACAGGGAGGTCTGCCCTGAATGGGAGCTTACCGTTAGTGGTCTTGTTCGTAAAACAGTGGATAATAAGGTGAGTGGAAGTATCTTCTGTGATTTATACCAGCCTTCTAAAAAGGTTATCATTATTATTTAATGAAAAGCACTGATACAGTGGAGCACGTCATTCACTTCTTTTGGCCAGTGGCTCTGGCATGAAGCTGGAGGCAAAGATGCTGAGGGCCCACCCTAGGCAGGCTCTGAGCTGGTTGCTGGTTCCATCCATGCCACTAATAACCCGATCAGGTGGAGAGAGTATTTATTCTTGCTTTATTGATTGGAAAGTTGTGGCTCAGCAAGCAAAAGCAGAGCTGCGTTTCAGTCGTAGGCGTGTTGCATGAGAGCATCCTAGGGTCACGATGTGGGTGGAGTGAGAATGCTTGTACAGGTGTTTACAGCTCTCAAGTTTTACTGTATGTGGGTGTCCTCGCTGTGGATTGAGACATCGGATTCTGTCAGGGTGGTTTTTGGATGCCTGGGGAACTGTGTTGTCCTGGTGGTCAGGTACCTGCCTAATAGCAGGTTACCGTGAAACCACGTGAAGCAATAAAATGCAACAGCAAGGTATGGATTACGTGACAGGCAGGCTGAGTGGTTCAGAAGGATCATGTGCTGTGGCCCTTATGCTTTGCATTATGAACACTGTTCCTAACTGCTCAGCGCCCATGCAGAAGGGCCAGGGGGTAGAGCGCCCATGTGATGAATGCCAACCAACAGTGTACTTGCCATGCTTTCACCTTGCGAGCAGGGTTCTTTTGTAATTAGCTCTCAAATGACATCAACTCTGCCCCCGAAATGGGTGCTCTGCAGTGATTAAGGGCTAGTGTTAGCTGTACCAGGGAGACACTGCTGTGAGGAGGTGCCTCTGTTTGGTGTCTGTGAAACATTAGATGGTATTTAAAGTGATAGCAGTTCTTAGCTGGCTACTTGGCCTCTGCCATCTGTTAGTGTGATTAGGCTGGTCTGATTCACAGGTGCAGCCTGGGGCGGCTGAGATTAAGCAGCTGTGGCCTGTGTGGACAGAGGAATGCCATGGCCGGGGTAATTGGCAAGGCAGGAAAGGGGACGTTGCCATTAAAACAATTTTTTGCCACCTCAAGTGTCAAATGCCTGACCCGATTAATAGGGAAAATTGCAGAAGCACCAAATTCTTTGCATTTTCAGCCACCTGGAAAACACTCATGTGTACAGATTGATTTCTCTGGTGCCTTCTCATTGTCTGGAAATGCCACTGGGGTGTGTTTGAATGTTCTTCTTTAGGAACTTTGACAAATGATGCCCCAGTGACCCGGTGTTGATGGTAACATTTTTGGGCTTTTTTCATTTTTTTTTTTTTTTTTTTTCCTCCTTTTGGATTGAGACATTGAAAATTTAGTTCTGTATCTTCCAGTTGGAAAAATATATTGCAGGTCA